TTCTCCCACTCAGTTTATGTACCTACATATATATATATACATATAAATATAATATGTGTGTTTGCAGTACGTAGCCGTTATTGTGTAGTCGTACTGTGCTTCTGATTTACAAACAAACAAATTGGCACCGTGAGGAAATCAGGTGCTCGTGAAAATAATGACATTAAAAAATCCGACATTTTCGGAGATTGTTATCCATTCTTACAAAACTTCCGCAACAGCTTTACATCTTAATTCAAAAACACATTTCTGCGTTGATTTTACTGAAAAAAGTTAACAATTGCACCCTTAAATAAGAAGAAAATTTAAGACAGTTCCAAATGACACTCAAGCCTCGTGAGTCACTAGACTTTGGCAGCCACTTTTGCCGCTAATCTTTCCTCTGACACCAGGCAACCCCCACCTCCTTCGATCGAACAAATCTCGACTTCTATTCATAACAGATGAGTACTTTTTGCTGTTGGTCAAAAGCAAGATAAATTATGAAGATGCTTTTAGATGGTATCAATACCTCCACGTGGCCCAAAAATTGACGAGTGCTTGATTCCACGAAAATGAGACACAAATCTACTTCTGTCCCGTAGTGAGTGGTTGGCGGGTGCTCTGGTGCGGTTTGCTTCTTCTTTCCTATCAAACATCTATCGTCCCTATCTCCCCTTCTTCTTTTTTGTGTTTGTTACTCTCTTGTAACACCTCTAATCTTCGGCACTTATATCACCTTATTGTGTTGCAAGAGCCGTGTGGGTGGTTGGCGGGTGCTCTTGTGTGGTATGCTTCTTCTTTCCTATCAAACATCTATCGTCCTTATCTCCCCTTCTTCTTTTTTTTATGTTTGTTACTCTTTTGTAACACCTCTAATTTTCTGGCGCTCATGTGACCTTATGCAGTTGCGAACGCCGTAAAACCTCTATTTAAACTAAAACTAAGCAAGTGCCGTAAAACTCTCACGAAAAAAAGCATGTCCCATACCTGTGCTCCACAGCGGCGACCACGAAGCCATGGGAAGCCAGCTCGGTGCAGTAGGTGGAGAGTGTGGTTCGATTCCCGCCTATGCCGTGAGTGACGATGAGCACTGGGAACTTGTCCTCGCTCTTGAGAAGTGGGGCTTGCCATAGTACTGGCACGTGTACGTCACCTGAGGGGGGGGAAGGG